TTGTCAATCTTAATGGATAGGTGTTTCGATAGAAAAGTATTGTGTGGTATTTTTAGAATGTTGCAAATGTTTAGAAGATGTCTTAATCCAACTCCCTCACACGTGCAATATTCCGAAAATACCACACAATACTTCTCAAACGCCTATCGAACGTAGTCGTGAATATCTCCTAAATAATGCCATGTTTAAATTTCTATCTTATAAACAATTCAATAAGTACACAACAAGAATATTAAAGCCTATAATAGTAATAGTAATAGTAATAGTAATAGTCAAAGCTAGATTTTTAATGCTTTAGATAATTCAATGTGAATTATATATATTGTATTATATACATATACATGCATATATATCATATTTATAGTCATTCGAATTGCGCGCCGAATTGCTTTATTTTGCCGGACTTATAAACACAATTAAACTATCATAATAATGTCATGAATTCAATTAAATTGACAAGCATTTTTAATAATTTTTATGCTCAATCCAGTATCATATTAAAAAGATGTTAGTGTGCTGAAAAACTGTAAATAAATTTATTGCAAAAAATATTACCTGGACCGAGAGTCGAACCCAGATCTTTTATATTTCATACGAACGTATTCTAAACCTTTAAACTATCGACGCTAATTCAATAAATGTTTTAAAAGTCAAAGAAACATCTACTTAAAATTTGAGTATTTATGTTCTCAATATATCTTATTAAAACATTTTTTAATATCTCTTTGTTTTGTAGGACGAAATAGATGAAATGAGTGGTGAATTCGGAGATAATGTGAGCATATCTAGTCGACGGAAAAGTATAGCCATTGTGGATGGTGGCAATGTACGAGTAATAATTTCTTATATATGTATAGCATTTTTAACTTTACTTATTAAAATAGAGCTATTTAATTATTTTTATAGTAATTATTTATTAGTTTAAATAATTTTTTACATAATTTGATATAATTGCTAAATAAATTTTATTTATTCTTGTATGTCTTTTAATAGGTGTCAGCATTGCCACCGGAAGAAAAAGGTTCTTCCAAACATACTATTAATCCAATGCACATGAAAGCTCTTATCTGGAAAAACTTTTTATGGATGTGGCGAAACGTCGGGTAATTAAATTCGTTTAATCACATTTCTATATTAAATTTGCTTTCATTTCTTATTCTCTAATTGTAATTTTTCATTTCTTATTTTCACTTACATCTTACAGGATGATGTTATTTATCATTGGTTTACCGGTCGCCCAAATAGTCCTCTTCTGCATCTCCATTGGTAAAGATCCTATAGGATTAAAATTAGCCATTGCCAACCACGAACTCAACAACAGTATGCAACCGTGCATTCCTGGAACCGGATGCGATTGGTCGCTATTAAGCTGCCGATATCTTCAATACTTACAGAAAAAAACTATACAGTTGTTACCCTACAACAGTGATGAAGAAGCCAGAAATGCAGTGGTAAAAGGATGGGCATGGGGAGCTATAACGTTTCCATCCAACTATTCCGAAGCTCTCATGGCAAGGATAGATTTCGGTAGAGATGCCGAGGAATGGGACATTAATTTCTCAGAGATGAAAATTATCATGGACATGTCTAGTAAGTCTCTTTGAACGTGAAATAGAACGAAATAATTTTTTATGTTTTTATGTGCAGCATTTTAAATGTTGCATTTTAAAAGACTCAATCTTGAAAAATAGACATTTTCCGATAATTAATAAAAAAAAATAACATAATTTTTATTTGAGAGTTCTGATATAAACGTACTACTCTAACTCAATATACCTTCGCAGATCAACAAATAGGCCAGCTATTACAAAAGAATCTCTTATACGCATATCTGGATTTCGCTAAGGAACTCACTATGGCCTGCAATTATAGCGAGAAGTTAACGAACATACCCATAAGCGTAAGTAAACAATTATGGGTGCGTTCCGATATTCACTGCCAGTGCTGAAAATTTATAGCGCACGTAACGTATACTGTATAGTTTCAGCACTGGCAGTATATCGGAACGCACCCTATGTTAATATGCCCATATAGGGTCGCCAGCAGTTACAAAAAAACTAACGCTTGACGAACGCTACACGACTGTCAACTGACGGCCAAGATTCTATCAGGCAGTACTGGGCTATCACCGGTAAATAACTGCCTAAAAGTTGGACCCAATACTGGGATCATCCATCCAGTACTGCATCAGTAGTTTGCCAATACTGCGCCTAGTATTTCTTCTCGAGAATTCTTTCTTGAGAAATTCTTGAAAAAAACAATAAATTTAAATTTCACACTTCTCGAGAAGTTATTGTTATTTCTCGAGAAATCAAAAATTGTATTCTGAATTATTACTGGTATGAGAACTCAAAGCTTGGAACAACTTTTCCATGCATTGTGTACCATTAAATCTACTTTTACGCAAAATGAGCTCAATTTTTCCATTGCAAATGATTTTGTAACAAAAAAACTATTTCGACTAGCTAATGTTAAATGCTTCTTGTTTTTTTTTAAGGATATTTCAAACCACAAAAATAATTTCTAGAAAAGAGAATAAATAAAATCGTTTAAATTTATTTTAATGATTCATAATTTAGAAGAACATGAGAGAACACAATTATTTTAATTTTTATGTAGCAATTGTTAGTTGAAAACAAGTAATTTTTCTTTATTAAAAAATTTTTTAAAAAGTTATGTATTTAAATTAATTTATAAAAAAATTATTTGAGTACAAATGTATTTTATTTTTCATCTATTAAGTATGTAATATACTTAATAGTGTAATTATAATATGTACTATATATTTCTATATAAATTTATATATGTATAAGTATTAATATAAAATACGAAGATGTAATTAATTGTAAGAGTTAAATCATGTTTTCTTTTATTATATACAATTTTTCGAGATTTCTCGAGAAATCTTGTAAAATTAAAATTGCTCTATTAAATCTATAGTGTCAAATTTAATTATCGTTTCAGTATAAAATAACGATATATTTGGTAGGAGCAATGGCAACTCACATTAAGTTAAATTTGACACTATAGATTTAACAGTGTATTTCTCTTTCTCTAGAAATAAAAAATGTCGAGAAATCAGAAACACTAATTGCGCTAATGCCTGGACTGTGGCAATCAGTAATGGCCCAGTACTAAGCCGATTATAAAATTCCATATATGGAAGTAGAGATAATGTAATTTTGTCTAATTTCTGTCACTATGCATAGCGTTTTAATATTATAATTATCTTTGTTACGTTATTGTAAATTATTATTTACAACAATTTATATCTATTGTTATAATTGTTACGTTAGTTTAAAACGCCAATCTTTGGACCTCATGACCCTAACTTCACGGATTTTGCAGCGCCCGGAGTAATTCTAACGTAAGTATATATTTATCTTAATGTCAACATAATAAAATAGTGTACATATACATTAAATTTAATTGTCTTCTTTCAAGAAAAATTTGTTAGCATTAAAAGAATTCGTGTTTTTTCAGAATTATTTTCTTTCTCTCAGTCGCATTGACGTCGGGCGCTATGCTGCTAGAGAGAAATGAGGGTCTGCTAGAAAGAAGCCTTGTAGCAGGTCTGTATAAAAAAAAAAGAGAAAAATATTTAAAACCGTAATAAGCAAAGATATATTCCGATCTTAGATAAATCCTAAATAAATCCTAGATAGATAAATTTTGGGGTATACACATATCTGCTGGAATTTAAATTAATAAATCTTGGAATTGATAAATAATTAATTTTGTAATCTTATACAGGCGTCACTGGTACGGAGATTCTCTTTGGTCAAGTAATCACGCAATTCACGGTAATGTTCGGGCAAGTTGTGATGGTCCTCATAGTCTCATTCGCGATCTTCAAAGTCACTTGCGAAGGCGACATTGGTTGGATCACCGTATTAATCACCCTTACGGGCCTTTGCGGCATGTGCTTCGGTAATCCATTCATTATCTTAAAATTGAATCATCGCGTGAAGTATCAAATCCCAAAAATTTTACAAAACTTTCTTACATAAAATTTTTTATAATTATTATATTTAAATGATATAATTCTTTTGCAAAGATACACTGAATTTTTATTAAATGTTTGCGATTATTCATCAAGTTACAATAACTTTGTAAAAACATAAAAAGAAGAAATTGAAGATTTTATGTAAGAGATTATGAAAAAAGTGTTTTCTTGTCAAAAAAAAAACGTTACACTACACTTTTGTTGATTATATATACTTTGTTTCTTCAAAAATTATTCGAAAACAAATTTAATTTTCAGGATTTGTAATCGCCTGTTTCTGTGACAATGAAAGGAACGCCACATACGTGGCGATGGGTTCTTTTCTTCCAATTGTGATGTTGTGCGGCATTATCTGGCCCATAGAGGGCATGCATCCGATTTTGAAATACATTAGTTTTTTACTACCTCTAACGAAGAGCACAGATTCGATGAGATCAATGCTGGCTAGAGGTTGGACGATATCAGAACCGTCTGTTTATTACGGCTTTATCTCTACTTTCATCTGGATCAGCATTTTCATGAGCTTGTCGATATTGCTAATTAAATTTAGAAAGGGTTAATTTAAAGAAAATAATTTTATAAATATTGTATAAAAGGTTCACCAAATCTCTCTATAAACTGTAATTTAATGAAGTTAAATAAATAAAATAATTCTAATTGTTATACATATTTAGATATCACATACAATCTAATTCATGTAAAATTAAATTAGATTTCAATTTATTTAAATAAAAATATATTGAGAATTTTAAGTATGACCGTATATGTGAATACATTAAATATGATAAAGAAAACCAAGATCGGTCAAATTTTGAATGTTACAAATAATACATTCTATATTCTTTTGTTAAATCAATTAAATAAAAATTTTCTCAATTTTTGTTATTATAATTATTATCAGATAATTTTAGATAAAAACTAAATCGCAGCCTTCTTAAAAAAAAAAAAACCCAAAGTTACACATATTTGTATAAAAAAGTATTATATTGTTATATAATTCATAGCATATAATATTAAAACAATATAAATGTATAATGTAATATTAAAAACATTTCTGAACATTTCTAAATGACTTGTCGTGTTTGATGATGAAAAAGACAGAAGACTTGTAACCAATTGTATAAGGTAAATATTGCTTGCAATATTTCATTGCGTTTGACATGCAAACCATCTAGGAAGAATCTCACGAAGAAAACAATGATCTCCACAATAATGACACAGAGTTGCATGAGCAACCATGGTGTATGTAGCATAGGGTATTCCTACCAAAGCAAAGCTATGTATTTATTTAGAAATAACAATTGCTTATAATATATTTTTAAATAAATTATTTTTAAATAAATTATTTTTTAAATACTTTTTTACTTACTGTGATCGCGCCTAACATAATTAAAGTATAATGCTCGATTCCCAGGATCGACGTCATTAACTTCAAATCTCTCTCGACAGTAAAGGGCACTGCAATTATTATTTATCAATTTATAATTTATTAACTTCTTGATTACAGATGTACAGTTAAAAAATTTTTCAATTAATGAAATACTATAATACCTTTGAAATACTATCTAATAATACAATAATTATTACCTTCTTGATTATTCCTATGGCGTGATAATATCCTAGGAATTTTATAATTTATTGTGCGTATTATGTCAAAAGCCGTGACTACCTGACGAAATTTTTTATTAATAGTAAACAGCACTTAAATATTCATTTATTTTTTTTATCTGATATATGTATTTAAATTAGCAAGGGAATATTACGATAGACTAACGGTCCCAATGAGGCCCAGAACAATCACATATAATGAACTACCCATTACATAATTATTGCACAAGGAACAGGCCATTCGTCCGATTTTCTGCAAAATAAAACTAGTATTATCACAACAACAAAAATAATTGTTTTTGAAAATTGTAAGAAACATTTAATTACTAAGTGTCCACTATGGACTCTTCGTCGACTGTGAAAGACCATAATTCACTTTATATCCCAATTTTTTGAGTCTGGAAAAATTGTGTTTCTTCTTTAAATTAAATAATGCAAATAATGTATAGCAATGTTAAATAGTTTAAACGTTCCGTTTAATAACGGAATAGGTTCAATTAATTTTATTATATTTGTACATTTACTTTCCGAAAATTTTAGAGGTTTGTTTTTCGCTCTATGAAATTGCACCTTCATGCATTTTCAATATATCGCAATTTAACATGAGCTATAAATTAATATATGTGAATTGAACATATTTAATGTAACAAATTATTCCAAGCAATATAATGGATATAATTGGATCAAACACTCAATATAATTTTAACATAAAGAACAGATTTTTGACAGGATTATTTCACACGAGATATTTATTCGTACAAATACATAAATTATGTAAATAATATGTAACGTGTTAATAAAAATAGCTTATAGTTTTTAAAATCGATTCCGATCGATTTGCGTAAAATCACAAACGAAGTCAATAACGTGAAGTTTTGCAACTATAACAAAATAATTATGTAATTCTATTTTTTTCTTTTTATCATCGTCACATTACATTGATTAATTGGTTTTCCATTCTACAATATTTTTTAATCTTTATCTCATTATATCGTTTTGCAAATTTATCAGTTTGCTGCGTAATTTCTATTCTTTGTTACATGTGTATGCTATTTGTTGCTTAAAAAATAATATATAAGCCATAATTAACATAATGTATGTGCATTTTAAGTATACTAATATATTTGGCTGATAAAAACAAATTTATCAATCATTTACGTGACCTATTAATTACAATGGATTATCAATCAAGTCGCGTTCAAACCATTCATGAAGATTATCTAAAAAGAATGAAAGAACATCGAACAAAAACGGTACATCAATATAATATTATAGTATTTACATACATTATAATATAATAATAACATTTGTTTTTTAGTTGCATATGTATGGCCCACGCTCAAGGCGTGTAACATACATATAATACACAAAATATCTACTTTATAGATAGAAATATAATTATGTGGACAGTTTGATAAGTCGATGTCATTTTAAAAGAAGACTATGTTAAAAAATAAGTTAAATAAAAAAAAGTTTAAAAAAGTTAAAAAAAGTCATTCATTCACCAAATTGTCCTCAAACATAATAAGTTCTTCATATTTTTTTTAATAATATGAATTCAGTATACTTCCATATTATTCAATTTTTTGAAAAACGAATTCTTTTTCACGATTTTGTTTATCTTTTTACAGCTAGCTGAAGCTAAAATATCACCTCATTTATTTAAGACTCATTCTCAAGTAATTAAGAAAGATGAGAAATCGCTGAAAAAGAAAACGTTTTTTTACCACGAAGGTTTCAAGATAATCAGAGCAATGTCCTTGGCATTATTGATATTGATTTTGTGCTATTACGGATCAACGGAATACAATGTTTTGCAGAATGGGCAGATTCTTCGCGGTTTCCCCTCCAGAAAGGCCATCTTGACATTTAGTTTCGGCTATTCCATCTCACGCACTATACTATCTGTAGTTACAGTTAGCATGCTTATTTATTCCATTTTAATGGTAAACAAAATTATTATCAACTGATATAGTTTTGTATATACTTTTCTATGCTTTAGTTTCATTTTATAAATCTTGATTACGCATTTTAGAAGCAGCCGCAACTTAGTTTGCCTTTCATAGGCTTCTTTTTAGCCGAGTTGGTGTGCGATTTTTGTGATGTGATCATAATGATCTGGTATTTCTTCGAACATCTTCAAATACAAACTGCATTACTTTATACTACAGGACTTCTTCTGTTGCTCTGTAATTATTTTTATCCGTCTTTCATTTTTTACGGAGAAACAATTATTGCAAACAGAAATCTGATACATATCGAATTATCCCATAATTCATCCCGAAAACGGCTCATAGACAGGTAGAGCGTACTAAAATGAATCCGCTGCAAAAAACTGCAAGAGACAAAAATTGTTTATTTTCTTCTCTTAGAACTCTAAGAATTTTTTCAGAATTTTTTATCAACTTTTTAGTACTGTATTTTCTTATTTTTACTGACATGAGAAAATATTATTAAAAAATTCTGAAAAATTCTCAGAACTTTATAAGAAAAAAATAAAGAATTTTGTTTCTTACAATTTTTGTGAAAACAGTTTGTGAAAATAGTATTTTAGAAAAAAGATAGTATTTGAGAAAAAAATTATTGAAGATCATTATTCGGCAATTTTTAGTAATTAATATCTTTACTAAACTTAACTGTTGCGAATTACAAAATGGTAAAGGACTTTTCGACTCAGTTTAATCCGTTCTACCTGCCCATGAGCGTTGTCGAGTGAATTACGGGACAAATCCTGTATGTATCTCTTCTGTTCACAATAAAATAGACAAGCTATCATTATAATACTAACCAAGTATATATAGAAATAATTTAAGTTAAAGTAGAATTTTTATTAAAATTTGTATACTTTCTCTCTCTCTCTCTCTCTCTCTCTCTCTCTCTCTTTCTTAAACTATTTCAGAAATTTAAAAGATATTATATGAAACAAAATATCATGTATTTAAGATCTATCTCATCTATTTATTATTTATTTTATATAGTTTATTGCCATTTTTTAATTTATTTTTATATAATAAATACTTATATATCAATCAATATATCGTCAATTTTTTTATATTTAGTGACAGAAATATGGACATGGCTAGATATTGTGTGGCTCTACGAACATCGAAACTTCAAAATATATTAAACAATGATGATAAATGTCAAGAATAATGGAAATCGATAAAAATTTAAATTTCTAATTATTCTCCGAATTTCGTATTCCTATACTGTATACACGTTTTTCTCATAAATCTTTTCAAACAAATCATACATATATTGATTCTTATAAATTAAAAATATGTTTATTTCCAAAACATATAATTTTTTAATTTCGTAATAGAATTCATTTTTCATGTCATCAAAATATAATCATTGCAGATTTTTTTATTAATTCTTTATTTTTATATTTATGTTTCGGAAAGATTATATTAAATTCTATGAAAAATGAAAATTATATCTTCTATGACTTATATAACTAAATATTTAGATTATATTGTAAGTTCCCAAGATTTTCCAGACTTATATACTGTAGGACAATCGAAAGCATTGACCGAACAGTGCGATTTTAAATCAAGTACTCGCACCTCGGCACAATTATCAATCCTAAAAAGACAAGAGTTCACGAATATATATGACAACATTCTGTATATATCTCATAAGTAGAGAAAAATCGCATTATGAGATAGGCGCCTAATATGAGATAGCGGCGTTTCCGCTAAACTAGTAAACGCTCTATTATTAGTTCCATCATAAATTTATTGTTCTTGGATTGAAAACTTTAGTGGAAAATTCATTATTAGATCGTGCATGTAGTAGTTGTAAAAAAAGATTTTAGAATTTGGATATCTTGTCAAGTTTCGTTGAGATGAAATTTTAAAATCTTGTGTATTATTTAATAGAAGTAAATATTTGGCAATAAATTCTTCATGTAGTGATAGAGTAAGATCATACTAATAAAAAAATATGTGATATGTTGAATTGCTTAATTATAGAAGTTAGATTTGATGATTGTAAAACTGCATGGAAATCATAATATGAGATATCCAGGTTATTTCTAATATGAAATAATCTATGCTCTCATGTCATAGTGAAAAATCGTTGTTAAAGTATAAATGTTATTGTATAATAATAAAAAGCACAATCGAAATAAACATTGATATCTGTTTCTGCGATGCTTGGTTCCAACTACCTGAAGACGAGTCAGCTAGGTACAATGCATCGCATACTTATTTTATACGTGCACTGATTGTGTTTATTTGTATTTTAGAAACATTAAATAAAGTTTTTTTTTTAATTGCAATTCTGACGTACGTTTTATTATCGATTTCTCGAGACATCTCATATTAGGACAATTTTTTGATTTTGCGATTTGCTCACTTTTTACATTTCTTTAATTTATAAAAAAAAATAAAATTTGAATTAAATTTTACATAACATTATCTTAAAGCTTATTAAATTCCCTCCAAAAGAGAAACCTATTATTTTTTCAAATTCTGCCTATAGACTTCTAGCATTTACCCAAAATGAACTCGGTATCTCATAATAGGGGCCTTTTCTCTATATGTATACCTCGGACAAAATTTGTCCAATGCATCCTTCAAACTATAAATTTGCGTTGTATTCTTGGATATTTCCTGTATTAGAAAGCCTAGAAATGCTTGACAATGCACATCTGTCGCTTGTAAATCGATCGTTGGATCAATCGTAATTAATTTGTCCGGTATGCAATCTCGTTTCTCCACTTTACTACAAAAATAAAACAGAAGTGTTAAAAATAATATTAATTACTTATTTTTAAGTGTTTATCTACTTACTTCCATCGTGATTTATTGATAACTGATAAATTGCAATATGCGCTGGGATGCATTGCAACTCCGGGGAAGTTCCAAAGCAGATACGCTCTCGCCGCCATCAGCAACAATTCATTATTCAAATTTTTTGCAATATGCGATAATTTTGTTCTAGCAAGTATAAATATAATATTAAAATATAATTTTATTGACAAATTGAAATAAACAAAAAAACAATTCAATTTTAAATAGACAAAAAGAATTCGTAGTGATAATATTATGTGACATTTTATATCATACATTTTATATCATAAAAAAAATTATCTTTTTATTATTATAAATATATTTCTTATGCTAGCGCTTCAAAAATTACTTTTCATAATTGTTAAATATAGTATTATATATTAAAACATAAAAATGCATTAAAAAATGTGTGTACATTCTAAATATTAATTATTATTAAATTCAAAAATCTTATATTTATTACTTGCTGAAAAATTTGTCAATTAATAATTCGACGATGTGAATATTAGCATTTTGAGTGGTCAGTGCCATTTTAAGATAAATTTCCGATGTGTTCGGTGTATTGGAAGTACGCATCAAATTGATTAAGTATATCTATAAAAAAATTAACTGTAATTATTCTTGTAATCAAGGTTAAATTTTATTTTCTTTGAATAAAGAAAAGAATTAACTAAGATGATAAAATCTATGTTTCATTCAAAGTTAAGATTGTGTATGTGCGCGCGCGCGCGCGCGTGTGTGTGTGATTACTCGCAAATATTTATATTAAAAAAGAGAACATTATATTAAAAATTACTTATTAATCATTTGTATGTCAAACGTAAATTAAATAGAATTAATAGAATTTTGATATACATTCAAATTTGGTTGTTCTCTTGCTGCAGCCTCAATATAACAGAATTCTTTTCCAGACCAGACTTGCGTAGCTTCCTTCACGAAATAGACATTAATGGAACATTCATCTTCGGAAATCTTCAAATCTTCACTTGAATAAATTATAATTTGTATATTTCTTGATTAAAAGGAAATCATTTAAAATTCAATTAAAATTAAATCATTAAATATAATACATTTTTACATAAATTAAAAAAATTAATTACTAAGTGTTGAAAACATCCGGTATAAATTGAAAATATTAATCAATCAAATATTTAAAACAAATTAATTTGATTATTTTTATTTGCTTTTTTTAATTTATTTTACGAAAATAAGAATTTCATCTCTTTACTCAGTGATTGTTTTTTAAATATTATTTCATTAAATTATAATTATTAATAATAATTATTAGTACCAGCAATTGTCATTGTTTGTTATGGGTGAACAAAATATCGCCGTGACAAAAGCAAGAAAAATAAAACTGAGAAGGATATATTATTGTTTTATAAATAATATTTATCAACAAAATATTATTTGAGCAAATATTAGATATTTTTATAATAAATATTCCCAAATAGTTAAATGACTTTTCAATGACATACATCTTATTGACGTTATCATTTAATGTCATCTTGCTATATGGATTATTCCATTATCATATGATGTAAATATAATAAATTTTTATAATCACATTATGCAAAAACCAAAGAAAATTTTTATGAAGATTTTGTGTTTCTTTACACGTTATACATTATAATTGCAGAATTCTGAGAATTTTTATAAAACTAAAATTTAAAAGAAATATAATATTATGTGACATTTTATATCATTTTATATCACTTTTTATATAATACTTGTTAGGATAATAAATACATACAGGATCATAAATATATACATTCACATACTTACGTTCAGTTTTCCGCATTCCAACAGTTTTATTGCACTGCACCTTTAATCGATCTACTTAGAAGCTTCAAAGTCTCGATGTAATTTAACGAGTGGACACTTTTAGCAAAGCCAAGCTGATTTAAATCCAGTCACAGCGACCGATATTGAGAAATCGATGAGTTGTCCATATTGTGCAATTCAAATGTATCACACTTTCGCAAGTTAAATGCGAATTTGCTCGATAGAGAGACGTTACATACCCTTAGGGCTTATTCATAGTCCGTTCTTATTTCAAGACTGTCTTAATAAGTAATGTCTTAAGACGCTAATATACGATCCTCTGACTGGTTCGTGATTTTTTAAGACTGTACTTAAGACGGTCTTGAATATAAGATTTGACTATGAATACCGTCCCTAAAGTATTTATCTAACTTATCCTAGTACACTAATGGTTTCTTTGTCGAATCTGTTCACCGGCATAAGACTATTTCTTTTTACATCACATCTAATTAAGTCGCATGTAATTTAATACATTATAACAAACGTTTGATTATTTTACAAGATCTTTTACCCGTGAGATTTACTTTTTAGATAAATGTAGAGCGGGTTTCCTGACTGACACGATTCAAGTCTATCGAAACGCGCCGCAATTCTCGAAGTATCGAAACAATCGCGACAATCGACGGCAATATTCGATAAAGAAAGAGAGGGTTTTCACTCATAAAGATAAAACGTGGGTATGTTTTATCTCGGACTTCTCTCTGATAAAATCATTGAAATAAAATTTGTAATATTTTACGATTAAAAATAACGAATTAATAACGACAGTCCATTTAATGTAGTACCATTCGTTATTCTTCTGCCTTTTTTATCCTGAATTATATTGTACGCATTCATTAAAGTGCTTTGAGGTTAAGTCTCTCGTCGTGAATTGTTTGAATTAGGAACGAGCTTCAAAGAAGAAATAATGTCGGCCGCAAAGCCTGAAGTAAAGAATTGGAAGGAGTACAATCGTAAACGGAAGGAATTTCGAAAACAATGCAAGGAGGAAAAATTGGCAAAGAAGATGAAGAAGGCAGAACTCGAAAAAGAATTAAAAAATGAGACGCAGGAATATACAGAAGAAAGTAATACGAAGTACGAGCGGAGGGACATCTGTACTATCAGCATAGCGGTACCTGGGTCAATCCTTGACAATGCGCAATCCCCAGAACTACGTACCTATTTGGCAGGACAGATTGCACGTGCTGCATGTATCTACAAGGTGGATGAGATCGTGGTGTTTGATGACAAGGGCGAGATCACGGAGGATGAGAAGAGGAAGGTCAAGAAGGACGATATGCTGGGTGAGGCTAGGCTCGGGTGTCTACAACTAGCCAGGATACTACAATATCTCGAGTGTCCACAATATCTGAGAAAGTACTTCTTTCCAATCCACAAGGACTTACAGTACGCGGGTGTGCTAAATCCATTGGATGCACCACATCATCTAAGACAGGAGAATGAATTTTTATATAGAGAGGGTATAGTTACTAATAAGCCCATAAAGGCTGGCAGAGGTTCTCAAGTGAATGTAGGATTGTTAAATGAGGTTCATGTAGATAAGGTGCTGATGACTGGGTTAAGAGTAACAGTAAAAATACCACCTGATCAGCCAAATCGGAAGAAAATGAAAGGTATTATTGTACCGCCTAACATGCCACGTGCAGAGACTGGTATCTATTGGGGCTATAATGTCAAACTAGCCAAAAATCTAACAGAGGTGTTGACAAATTGTCAATATAAAGAAGGATATGATTTGATGATTGGAACATCTGATAAAGGAACATCGATCGATGAGATAAAAGCAAAGAGTTTAGAATATCACCACTGTCTCATAGTATTTGGAGGTCTCGCTGGATTAGAAGCTGCCATAGATGTGGATCCACATTTAAATGATGATTCATCTGTAATCTTTGATAAATATATAAATACGTGCCCACAGCAAGGCTCACGAACAATTAGAACAGAAGAAGCTATTCTCTTGACTTTAGCTGAATTGAGAACTAAATTAGTAGCTAAAGAAATCTTAGAAAAATAATAGTTGCATAAATGGTTGAAATAGTGAAATAAAATAAATACATTTATCTGTTCTAAAGTTATTGAATTTTATCACATTAATTGATACTTTATCAAAAATACAAATTCATCATTCACATCTTTGTACATATATATTTTTTATACATATATATAAAATGCCAAATTTATTGCAGAAACGCTTTGTATATTTACAGTATCCTCAGTTGTCACCGCTGTGTTGAATGATTGTGTCCCAAATAGCAATTTACTGTGTCTCTAAGTGTCGTTATTACTTTAGCTTGATCAGCAGAATTTATAACAGATGTGCCTGATACGATCATATTGGCACCAGCCTAAAAAGTAATATTAACATGAAAATAATTAATGATTTATAGCAAATTCACACAATCACACACTAGATTAGTACACTAAAGTTGCTGTACATAAAATTAATAAATTTAATTGTAAAAACTCAAATATTTTATCTAAAATAATGATTGTCATATCATTTAACAGAAAATGTATTATTTCATTGTCAAAATTGATTATATTATGCTATTGCATTGAAACACTATATAAAAAAACCTTTTTAATATGCTTAAATCTAGTGTAATACGAATGAATCGAGATCACTATTATAGTTTTACATGTGCCAACGTCTGATTGAATTATTTATATATTGCAGTAATTTTTGACAAATTGCACCTTTGCACAAGCTTCAATTGTAGCTAATCCAATTCCACCATCAACTTCAATATCTAGTTCAGGATAGTTCTCCCTTAACCATGCAACTTTCTTTAACATTGGTTCCATAAATTTCTGTCCACCGAAACCAGGTTCCACAGTCATTACTAAAATCATGTCTGCTAAATCCGCGTAATTTGTCACCACATCCACAGGCGTTCCTGGCTTAAGTGCCACACCAACCTGTTTTTTAATTGATTTCATTAATTAAATGTAATAATATTAACAAATATTAATTTTTGTAAAGAGAAACAGTCCCAACCTTCATTCCGGCTTCCTTCACTTTCCTGCAAACTAAAGGAACATCCTCTACTGGCTCCACATGGAATGTATACTGATCTACACCAGCTTCAGCCATGGGTTCGATCCACTGTAATTATTTCAATAAAATAGAGTTATTTCTATAAAATAGAGTTTACTTTGGTCAAAATTTTAATAATACACAGCACGTATATCAAAATTTTAACATAATACGGTTTTAAAAGTATGACATTTTGAGATGTCTTATGTCCTGATTTTGGACATATATAGGTATATGTCTAGGTATCTTTAAAAATTTTGGCCAAATTAAAGTTACTTCATTTTACAATAAATTATTAAGCCTGCATTTAAAATGTGCTTATAATGTTAGCGCATTAACATGTTACAACTTGCGTTACTACAGAATTTCAAAGATGGGTTTTTATACATAAAAAACGCACACGTTCTGAATTTATAAAATTTAAAACATGTCTTGCAGTTTCTAAGAAAAATTTTGTTTCGCGTACACCTGGGGTATTTTTTCGTTAACCAATCAAAAACTATCACAGCTATCTTCAGAAATCAAAAGACAAAGATAGCCTTAGCCGTGGTTACTTCTGATTGCATAAAGAAAAAACGCCAATGGTCTCTCTTGAGAGCGAGTGTGGCAGAGTAGACAGCGCACTAGTCCTGCTATGTTAGAGATGGGGGGTTTAATTTCCGGTAAGACCAAAATATTTTCATACATTCGTTCTCCTCTCGGAAGGAAGCGGCAATTCATCGAGAGTATCCTTACTAAGAATATTTCTCTAAACAAAAACTTTATTGTTTGGAATCGACATTAAACTGTTAAACTCCCATATGAACTGTGTACAACTAGCATGCACACCACAAGTATATGAGAGAAGTCACTACATTTAGACACAAGCAACAGGATTAAAAAAAAGAGATACCTGCTCCGGTTTGGATACCATCATGTGCGTCTCGAGGAAAGCATCTTTTATTTTACTACGAAGACATTTGACAATCGGATGACCAAACGTTAGATTTGGAACAAAATGACCGTCCATCACATCTAAGTGCAAGTAATCCGCGCCATTATCCAATAACTTTTGCGATTCTTTATAAATTTGCGCCAGATCACTGTTCAAAATCGACGGGCCAATTTTAGCGCTCAAATTCTTTGCCATGTCCGAATATATCAACGTGCGCAGATAAGAATGTTCCACGAAGCTGCTCGCAAAAAATATACGTACACACGTACACTATGTGTTGTTCTACACATAGATAAATTAGAATAAAAAATATTCAGCGTGATGTACGTATTATGTAAACGAGATTCATGTATCTGGTGATAACCTATATTGCTCAACGGTCAACATAAATCAACATGAGCCTCAGTGTTGCCGCGGGTCAAAAAATAATTTCACTAAAAAAATCCCTTCACAATTCACTAAAAGGCCCCAAAATTCATATAAATTATGTAGATTGACTGCATTCAGCCAGAAAACAACTTTAAGATTCTTGATTGGTTTATGTTAATATGGTCCACTAATTTAGATCCAATGGAGGAATTGAAAATAAGATCAATGAGAGGAGTAGAGGACGCTGACATAAAAATTTATTAAATAAAGAAAGTATTGGATCATCTAAAAAGTATCCGCGGTACTTTGTCATTAGATATATGACCATCAACACACATCTAGTGACAAAAAATCGCGGATACTTTTTAGATAACTCAATAATTCACTAAATCACCAAAAGATCTTAAAAATCACTAAATTAGTGAAAAAACCGGCAACACTGACTAGCATGCTTGATTCAGATTAAGTTAGTCTTGATTTCTGCTAACACGTGGAAATTGGAAATCCATGAAATATGAATGAAATCAACAAACAATTGTCTGGGACATGGAATTTGATCATAAAACCATGATTTCAAGCTTAATTTCATGTTTGACATTTATAGAATGCTATAAGTCTTCTCTGAATGTTTATTTCATAATGTAAACAAATCTTATTAACGGAGCATATCGAAATGGAAGTTCCTATCGAGACACGAAAACCATCGAAGATTGGCTTATTTTTTATTGCCGCTACAGGTTCGTTAATATTGTTTTTATTGAATTTAAATTAATCAGTTGCGCTAATTTCAATAAGCTGGTTTCTCTCAGGCGGGATTGTGTTTTCCATTTATCAGTCCTGCATTTCGTAAGATATGTTTACCGTATGTGCCAGCTACGCGTCAACAAATAAAGAATGTTATTCGAGCGTTAAACGGCCGCTCTGGTTCCTTGATTGATCTCGGCAGTGGCGATGGACGTATTGTAAGTATGATAATCACGAGTCACGTGAATTATCGAATTACAAGCAAAGAATATTATGGTTACTTTTCTTTTAAGAGACATAATCGACACAAGTATCGTTTTATCTTTGTTATTTATTGAACGTCAAGGAGAGAAAATGACATTTATGCCAATTGCTTTCCTTTTAAAAGATTTTGGATACTTTCCAGCTAGAGATACAGATAGTACAGTGAATGCTTTCCAGCAAGAGATACAAAGTTTGTTTTTTATTCCTATATGAACTAGATTACATTGAATCCTTCTTTCTTGTTTTTGCCAAATACCAAATATATCTGGTTCACTTTAAGTTCTAAAAATGTATTACTACTTTTCAGTATAAAAAACAAATCTAGTATATCACTGTGATCATTTCAGCTTTATTTAATATTGACAAACAAAAAGGATATAATAATTCATTATGTTATATTGTATCATCTGTGTCTCTCGCTGGAAAGAATTCAAAGTTTTCTAAAAGAAAAATAGCCTATAAGTCGACACTGAACGCATGTAAAACTTGTGTGTAAGGTCTTCTTGACTGAACTTTTGCACTAGTTCATCTTTCTTCTTCTTTTTTCCTCCTGAAGGAAAGATGGACTGATGGGCGTTAACTTTTGTGGGAAGTGTATAGAATACTCCATCAGAATTTTTTATATATAGAATTTCACATGTGAATTATTTTTTCAAAATAATTAGTGTTGATAATAACTAGTGCTTTTTTCTGCCTTGAAAACTCTTCTTGAGAAGATTAAAAACGTATATTGTTCTATGTTGCAGCAAGTTCAATTTCAGAGATTAGTCTTTTAATTATAATATTTTTTCCTTGTTTAAAATCTTAACATTGTTCCAGTCAGTCATTTATATATGTTATATACATTATATGAGTCGTTATATACATTATATAACAGAATATAATTTTTTATGCATTAGATGTAAGTATTTAATAAAATAAAATTTCTGGAATATAATTTTTATGAACAATTCTTATTAATATAATATTTTATAAATATAAAATTTTAATTAATGACTAGAAGTTTAACAACTTTAAAAGAGTATTCTTAAAAAAATATAGTTGATAACTCTATACGCAAGACATGCTACGTGAAATGCAAAACAGGGATAAACTTTTTTTCTAAACTGTTTTCAACGATCGCAACAAATGATAATTTATAAATAGGTTCTCACAGCGGCAAAACGTGGCTTTAAAGCCTATGGTATTGAGTTAAATACCTGGCTAGTATGGTATTCGAGGCTTCAAGCACTGATTAACGGTCTGTCGAGCAACACTGTGTTTCACAAACAAGATTTATGGAAACATCACCTAGGAAAATATGATAATGTCGTTATATTTGGAGTAGATCAAATGGTACATTTTTCCTTAATATTCATCTTTGAGAAAAAACAAAATGTATATCAAGAAATCGTCTTTTTTACAGATGGAAGATATTGAAAAAAAGTTTAAAAATGAATTGCGCAAGGATTCCCTCGTAATCGCATGTAGATTTCCTCTTCCTAACACGCATCCTGTTATGACGATTGGACATGGAGTTGACACCATTTGGGTTTACAAGATACCTCAGAGTTGAATTTAAGGTAACAAAGGATATATGGATTGAATAAATTATAGTACAAAATAATTGTTGTATATTTAATACTATTATGTGTTTATTAAAGTACATAAAATGTACAACATTAACAATCTTTGTATTTACAGTAAGAAAATAAATCTGTATTATTCCTAGATTAATGTGTCGTGAATAATTAAATAAATTATGTTATTTGTTATGTTTATGAACAGCTCTGATCTACTTATATAATCTCTATCATGCTGTCTTAAATTTTAATACACTTTTCAACTCATAAATTTCTGTTATTATAACTACTCAATGCAATAAATATGCATTTTGCACGTACGTGCAACGTTTTCCTATCTGTTACATTTAAATCTATTTTTTGAAATGTAATTTTTGAACACTATAGGATTCTTTTAAAATACATAATGATATGTACGCAATTGCATTTGTAAATAATTAATATTAAGTATTATATAAATGCAATTGTATATACACAATCTATAAGATTTTAATTATATATGATTAATGATCTGTGATAAAGAATTGAGCAATGAGATTTAAAAATCCGATAACAGGTATAGCTAAATGAAATAATATCGAATATATACTTAGCTTTCCTTTTTTCTTCAAAATGGATAAATGTAGTAAATTCGGGAAAGTGAAAACGTAGATAAGTCCGCTTAAAGCGCCAGTATACCTGACAATAGTTCCGATGTAAGGTACAAACGTCGCGAAAATGATACATATAGAAACTAATACGAGATTAATGAAGAGCACTAAGCTTCTGTTAGGCGCTCTTTTCCATATCCATGAGAGTAATTGAATACGTAGCACATACGCGAGTAAAGGATAGACAGTCACTAATTGAAAAAGTAGCACCATACGAGCACCTATCGTAAGGCCATCCCATTTTTGAAAATTATTTAGTAAGTTCTACAATAAAATAAGATCTAGTTTAGAAAACATATAAATTGTTATGTCATATTGAATATTTTATCGTTTTTACAGAAAGATATTATGCGTACTTACATCTTCTATACACGACTTAGGCAGTGGAAAGCACATAAAAAACCCTACTCCAACGATGATATAAGTTAATGTGACGAGGAAATATGCTATGGTTAAATCCCTTCCCTAAAAATAAAATCATTTCTATTTACTTTTTGCAAGGGATTAATACACAAGAAAAAAAATTTAAAATAACTAACATTCTTTTCTTGATTGCGATTATTCTGCATTATGTTGATTACAATATTGTGGATAAAGAATGACATTGCTAACAGTCCAGTAAGTGCGGGAAACGTGGGCCGTATTACCCAACTTGTTGTCCATTCGACTTGGTCCATGTTGATACCCCACGACGCTGATTTTATTACAACGAAGATAATCAGATACATAACTGACACTGTTCCTGTGAGATACATATTAAAAATTTATATTTCGTAATAGCAGATTTTTAATCAGAATTGTATATACGATAAGATATTAAAAGTATATATATTCAGATGATATATTAAATATAAAAATGGCTAATGATGCATATATATGTATACTTACCGAGGGAATTAAACTTTGTGAAAAATGTCGTACTATTAAAATTTAAAAGAGGAAATATTAGTAAGGCCAAAAACATAGGCACTGTATTTCGTAAATCCCATGTTGGTCCCAGCATATCATATGTTTTCTCAATTACAATGGTATTATTGTCTTGGAACTCTTTCGGGCACAATACTGTAAATTGAAGCGATAAAACCACTTCAGTGGAGACATTATTCTCGAGGAATAAATTAAAACTTTATATCTATATATGTATATATACCTTCTTTATATGAAATGTTCTCAGATATACGATGTGTTGACGAGCCAGCTATGCTATCTGTAAAATGAAAATATTTTCCGAGATAGTTCACGTGGACACATATCTTATATTTATGTTTAGGATGAGAATATTTACCATAAATAAAATTGACGCTATTATACAGGAAATTGGCCATTAATATCCAGTAAGCTATAGTTGCGCCCAGCAATACCGCAATACTAAAAATTCTAGCGGTATGTTCTGCCCATTTGCCGAGATATATCCGGCACAAGTCTAAAACTTCTATATCTGATCCACCACCTAATTAATCGCAATATCACTAATTATATCACACGTTATGATTTATGATAAAAGTTTTATGATAGAAGAGTTTTTTACCATGATATGCATGTGCAACTACGAGACGATAAGCGGTGTATAGGCATAAACCGCTCATCAGCAAGTTGAGGATGATTCCAGGAAAGAATCCGGCCATCGTAATTCCCCATGGCATCGTCAGTAATGATGATCCCAGTATTGTATTCCAAATTGAAAATCTAAAACATAAAAATTAAATAGATTTGTATTATTTTCATAATATATGTAATTTTCACAGAATCTGTAAATTTGTTTTAATATAATCTTTATTCAAAGATCAGAGTTATAAAAGGTACACACACACACACACACACACACACACACACACACACACACACACACACACACACATATAAAATCATCATATTTTCATATAGATATATATAATACATAATCATATATATTCTATACAAGGTGTCCCAAAATTCGCGCATTCAGAGTACAAGACGTGATACTTTATAATAAAACAAACAATTTTTTCTTTTTGCAAAATTGCGCCTGACAAGTAGTTTTTGCAGAAGAGCAAGTTGAAGTTATACGAGTAAACACAAAAATTATTTATCGGACGTAATTTTGCTAAAGATAAAAGTTGTTTGTTTTAGCATAAAATATGTTTTGTACTCCGAATGCGCAAATTTTAGAACACCTTAATACATACATATAATTCTATGTTAAATATCTTTCGTAGTTTTATTCTAATTCTTGAATTTATGAAAAATCTCAGAGAAAGAAATTATTAATTGAGATCGCGTCGAAAAATTTCTAGTCGTTTTATCATAAAAATGCGAATTAGCTCGGATATCCTATATACAAATGCTATATACAAGTATGGGATATACTTATCAGCAATTTCCTCTTAAATAATGTGCATATTACATTACGTTCATGTCACGCAAACATTTCTCCGATAATCGACACTTTGTATATCGTGTTCATGCTCATAAAAGATATTCCTATCTGTCTTGTTCACAAGATCAGTTGCGCATTAGAATATTTTTATCACTCGGTTATCTAATACAAATCCCATAGGCGTATTAGATACATATATATATGTATATATATACGCGTGGCGTATAAACCGCAAGTATATGGATCAAGAACAATGCGTATCTTTATCCTACCTATCCTATCTTTATTGAACTTGATTCGATATTGTAAAGGCCACTTCACGAAATCGTAATAATGCGCCTCTTTTGTGACCGCGAGATAACCGCGTGATTTCTCGGAATATTTTCGATCAAGACACACTTTCGGATATGGTGCAATCAACACTCGATTTCTTAAACTATCTTAAAATATCTTTTTTTCATTCTAATTTTATTATTTATCTTCGTTCTAATTTTTTTTACTTATTTGTCGGACGAGAGCCAAAACTTACTTCATCATTAAACGCCTTCATTTTTTATGTAAACATATCGAAAATACCGAGCAAACTGACGTTAAAAATGTCATTTTGATGTCAAATATCATCAAATTGTTTGCTGGGTTACGACTAATACTTATCTTATTTTTTAATTTCTAATCTTGCTATACATTATTTTTAATTTATTGTCTTCTCCTTCTGTTTATCTTCTTAAGAAAATAGATTACATTATAAAAAAATAGAAAAAGAAATAAAGAAAAGAAAGAAACACAAAAATTAATTAGAAACATTTTGTATAATTTATAGTATATAATTTTATAGTATACAATTTTATATAAGTATAATATGACACTATATATGATCGACGATTTTATATTATTAAAGTTTATACTATAAATAGTTTATACTATAAATAGAGCATATAAAGTTGCGATTTACATGACTATTTCAAACATATCCATCTCTTTTTTTTTTAATTGTTCTGTTTATCCATTGGACGAATCGGAGCGAGATTTAATTTCATTTTTAAAATAAATTTATAATGAATTATGAAATCATAAACCGCATATGATAATTTACGAGGAAAAATATCTGTAGCAAAAATTTAAAAAAAGAAAAATTCGACCTTTTTCTCTATTAACTGAATATTAACCTTTCATGAACCAGGTGGAAAATCAACATAGATCGGATATATCTTATATCCCATGCTATACTTCATTAATAATTAATATACTATAATTTAGTATAATTGATAACACATTCTTCAGTTGCACCGGCAACATGCGCGAAGTACTTTTTAGAAAGTTATAGAAATTCATCTTGCTGGGATGTCATATCCTGGTTAACGAAATGAATTCGGTTAAAAACACCGCGAGTAATCATTATTGATTGTTTCTATTTTTTAGATTAATATACAGGATATCTTGCAATTTTTAGTCAAACGTTTTTTTGTATAAATAGAGCAGACTAAACTAAGTCGAAAAGTCCTGTACCATTTTGCAATTTTTACAATAGTTAACAAGCTTATTTCTTTAAAAGTTGAGGATGCACAATATTATTATATTATTATATTGTAGTTAGATATTTTAATAAAATCTTATTTTTGAAAGAGTACATAAATTTGTCATGAGTTCTGAAAATCAGTAAAATAAATCTCTGTAAAATTAATCCAAAAATGTCGATTTCGACTCCATCCGAAAAAATGTGACTCCATTAGTTTCTCTCTGGTATTCATAGTCCGTTTTATTTCAAGACTGATTTAAGTAATGTTTTAAGACATTAATACGGCCTTCTGATTTGTGACTTCTTAAGACTGTACTTAAGATCTTAAACATAATTTACAGTCTTGAACGTAAGATCTAACTATGAGTATTTTTGTTTTCTCTCTCTTTCTCTCTCTCTCTCTCTCTCTTTCTCTCTGTCATTTAATAAGACTTATCTAGCTTCGGTTTCGATTTCGTTTTCGGCCGAAATGATAATTGAAAATTTATTTTCGGTCGGAAGTCAAAATGTGGTTTCGGATTATAGCGATATGTGCAACATACACATGATGTGTGTATTTAATTAATTATATTATACAATTTAGTATATCATTCTTTAAATACATTGCTGAAATTAGGATAATTTAATA